GAAACGATTCCCAGCAAAAGCAAAAAGTTCATGATCAACCGAGAGATAAAGAGACCGAGCTTAGCAATGAAACTGTAAGTAATCGTTAAATGGTCATTTTGCATGCCTTTCTATAATACGCACCAATAAATTTCCCTTTTCCCCATTGCAGTGCGTGAGCGCCATATCACTGGTTCGTCATGTCCAGCCACACACGCTGCTTGACCACAAAGGCGCACACGAAGTCGACATCGTAAATTGTAGTAGAAACGGCAGCGATTCCAAAGCACTTGATTGTACGCACGCGCACGAAGGGCGAGCGAAGAATAGCACAGATCATCTACATGATACGAATTATACAATAAGCAAGCAGGATTTGTTACATTTGTGTCCAGTATTGCTCTACCAAATCGCGTCACCACTGGCGGTCGAGCGAGCAGGGTGCTTAAATCCGTCACTTCTAGCTCACATTGATGGCGTGGAAGCGAGTCGATTCGACGTCAAAAAAGAGGACATTATGTACGGTAAGTATTTAACTTTTTCGATGTTAGAATCCATTTTACTGTAAGTTCTGGTTCTTATACATATCGCAAGCGAAATACAAATCGATTATAATATTATTTCACTTCGAGGAAAATTTATTGAAAAGAAGATTCAATCACGTTTATGTTTTGTTATTTAACATTTCTATTGTGTCCTTGCAATATTTACAGTGGAAGTGATACCTATCTTAACCAGACTCTTACGGCTTCACATTTTTTTCCACTTATGGTGGGAGTCCGGCCATAGAAACTGAAGTACAAAACTGAAAGTTCACGTTGAAAAGTTTTTAATTACTTTTTTAAGTGAATTCTAATGAATTTAAATTTTTTTTTTGGGTTATTTACATGAGTGAGCTGCGTGTGTTTACATACAAAATAAGCAAAAATGTACAAACAATATTTGGACGTTATATTGAAGTTGACTGAATTTACCATTTTGTACTAGAAAGCGATCCTGTACTCTCGCTCTGAGAGAATTTTTATTTTTAGACAGTTAAACTACTTTTAGTCCGAGGAATACGGGATTGGACCTAATGTTAGTTATCCGATGTCATGTTTTTAACATATCTGTGTACATGTCTCTGTTAAATTCCAAACTTGCGTCTATAATTTTCGATTGTTCGATTTAGTTAGCCTTTATATTTTCGCTGAATTATTTATTTTCGCTTAAACTGAATACCACACTCGGCTGAACTCCTATTTACAAGTAAAGAGGCATAAATTAAAATTAAAGTGTCACTGTTCAAAATAATACTCTATTTGATCTTCAAACCAAATTTGGCACGAGATGACGAAAAATTATTCCACAATACATCATAGTCCTACCCTATTTATAACCAAAAAGAAAACTATATTAGGCATAGTTATCCTGGAGCACTTAAACATTAAAAGTGGCATAACTGTTTCTTTCAGTTTATGAACAATGAGATTTATAAGACATTTTTGCAGTAGTTAGAAGTTCGTAGGACGGCCGCTATGGCTGAGTGGTAAGAGGTGCGTACTGCCACTCCGTAGTATCCAGCTTCGATACCTGGTTAAAGCAACACTTAAATTAGAAAAAAAATTCGAAAAGAGGTTGCCCTCGGCAGGCAATGGCAAACCTCCGAGTGTAATTCTGCCATGAAAAAACTTCTAATAAAAACTATGTAACAATCACTTAGCGAAAATTTAAGAGCCGATATATTATTTTTATTCGAAGTTTGTACTACAACTTATAAATGCTAAAAAGTCGATTTTTATGTAACTATATACATATATTCGATCAATTTCAGTTTGGATTTACGCATTTATATCGGTTTTCGCCTGTGGAATTTTGGGCCTGGTTGGCGTAGCGATCATTCCTTTTATGGATTCTCGGTACTATAAGTACATTATTCAATATTTGGTGGCACTGGCTGTTGGAACAATGACCGGTGATGCGCTGTTGCATTTACTACCGCATGTAAGTGTATACACATTTTACATTTAAATCATTTTCATTTCTAATTTAAATGTACACATATATGTATATGAATTTCAATAGTCTTTGGCTGGACAGAGTGAGCAAAATATGATACTTAAGGGACTCGCTTGCATGAGCGGCATCGTCTTCTTTTACATAACAGAACACGGCCTTACCATGATATCAGAGTGGCGCAAACGCATAGCCAAGAGTGATACGAAACAGCAATCGCGCGCAAAGGTGGTACGTGATCCCGATTCTTCGGTCAATAACTCAGTCGCTGGCGATAAGGTTTGCAAATCAAAATACAGCTCTTATCCTTACTGTTACGATGAGATTGCCATGGACACGAAGAACGACATGCACCTGCCCGGCTCTAAGTTGAATAACATATCTGATTTGTCTAGTGATTTAATGGGTGTTGGCAATAATGTGGAGCGCAAACGCAACGGCAAAGCTGACGCAGACGGAAACGAAGCGGTGGCACAGTCGCTAATACCTGTGTGGCACCACAACCATCAAGATCACCATCATCAGCAACAACAGCATCAGCACCACATTCATCTGCCCGACAGCAATACAATTTCCACAGATTTGGATGGTCATTCTATGGGAGGAACGGACGGGCATAGTCACTCCCTTACCTACAATCCAACGGTGGCAACTAATGGAAATGCCAAAGAGCGTTCTTTGACCAGTGATTCGGTGCCGACTGTCATATTGCGCGAANTCCCTTACCTACAATCCAACGGTGGCAACTAATGGAAATGCCAAAGAGCGTTCTTTGACCAGTGATTCAGTGCCGACTGTCATATTGCGCGAACATGAATCTTCGCATCATGGACACAGTCATAAACACGGACACGTACACTCGCCTCCGGAATCATTGAGCGCCGTTGTCTGGATGATAATCATGGGCGATGGCTTACACAACTTCACCGATGGCATGGCAATAGGTGCGTTCTAATTTAAGGCATATCACTAAACGATCGATTATAGAAATGTGATGNGCTTACACAACTTCACCGATGGCATGGCAATAGGTGCGTTCTAATTTAAGACATGATTTATACAACCTCGCATACGCANAATGTGATGGCTTTATAAAAAAAGAGAACCATTTTGAAATATGAGTGTTTTTACGCTCTGGAAAATAATTTCTAAAACTTCACATACGCGGTTTTGTATTTTGCTTATACGCGGTTTTGCATTTTGTTGATACGCGGTTTTGTACTTTAAACGACGATAACTAAATTAAATAAAATTTCTTGAATTTAGTACAACAAAAATAAATTCGTTTATTTATATAACTTATTTCTTCTACTAAAACAACCACATTTGCAAAAAACTTTACTTAAGAATACATACCCAAATGATTTATGTANAATTAAATAAAATTTCTTGAATTTAGTACAACAAAAATAAATTCGTTTATATAAATTATTTCTTCTACTAAAACAACCACATTTCCAAAAAACTTTACTTAAGAATACATACCCAAATGATTTATGTTTTTCAGGCGCTGCATTTGCAGAGAATATTGCCGGTGGCTTCTCGACATCGCTGGCGGTGTTTTGCCATGAGCTGCCACACGAACTGGGTGACTTCGCGATCCTTATAAAAGCCGGCATGTCCATCAAAACAGCGGTATATTACAATTTGTTGACGAGTGTGCTTAGTTTCATCGGCATGATATTCGGTATTGTTTTCGGTCAATCGCCGAACATAGCACAATGGATGTTTGCTATTGCGTCTGGTCTCTTCATCTATATTGCGCTGGTGGACATGGTGAGTTATAAGAAAACGAGAACATGCTCTAATGAGAAATCATTCGTCTGACTTATGTGCTATCTTACAGATGCCGGAACTGTCATCAGCTCACAAGACTCTGGAACAATTTGTGCTGCAAATACTCGGAATATGCACTGGTGTATTCATAATGCTTTTAATTGCGCTGTACGAAGGAGATCTAATGAGCCTGTTTTCTTCATCGTCATCAGCAGCGTCGACCACCTCGGGCCAACAACATAATCATTAGTAGGGGGCCCAAAACATTTTGGAATGTGTTGAAGTAAAGTAAAGAGAAAACTCACAAGCCGCCACACATATAAATACATAAACGTACGCACATTGATTGCAAAAAGCTCACAATAATTCGATAATTTACATACCTACATACATACATGTTTTAACCACTCGCACGCAA